GTCCGATCGACATGAAAATTTGAGGGAAGCTTCCTTGGGGTGTTCTTAAACAGATCCGCATAGACCCGACTCTCCATCGCCACCCAAAGGGGTGCACGGTCACTCGGGGGTAGCTACCCCCTGGGAAGGGGTTGAAGATGTTGACACCAGGTTTCTCGACATGGATATGTTCCAAATGGCAAAAGGAATCATTCCTGAAAGTTGCATGCCAAAACTTCAACCCTTAGGTTCCAAAATGGCCGATATTCGAAAAGGGGTTGCACGTTCGCGGGGGTGGTTTGGCCGGGGTTTGTCCAATTCGAAAAAAAAACACATGTTCCGTGTACAGGGGGTGTCCCCGGAGGATATCACGGTAGTTTTGACCATCCTCAAAACTCACCCCTTCATGGGGGTGGGTTTGAACGACCGCGATTTCGCTAGCGCCGTTCGAAAGAAGACACAAATTTGAGTCGGTACACTAAAAATTTCGACTTTCCGATCATTTAAAGTGACAAATTCGGAACCTTCTAGGTCGAATTTTCTACCCCTCTTCACTCTAGGGGCTGCACAGGCCGTATGGGGTGGCGCAAGGGATGCGCACTTCGTGGGGTCCAAGACGAACCAATGAGACGTCTACAGGCCAAATCTCGACATTCTACCTCAAAACACTTAGAAAATACGCCGGCTCAAAAAAGTGCGCCGCTAATTTTGAGCAGCAGTGTACAATACCCCAGGGCCAGGACGGAATTATTTTATCACTTCAGTAAATTGGGTTTATTACACACGTTTGGAAAGACATTTAGTTTAATTACCTATCAGTCGTGAGGGCGAAGTAGGATGCAGTTTCCTAACTTCTTGTGTTTTCGTCATGTTCCAGCCGTTCTTCACCGAGCGGGTGTTCCAAATATTCGACAATGACAACTCGAGGTCTATCTCGTTGCCCGAGTTCCTGGACGCGATGCACCAGTTTTCCGGAAAATCACCCGACGACAAGATCAAGTTCCTGTTCAAAGTGTACGACATCGACGGTGAGTAGCACGCGGGAGGGGGGCCGTGGCGCCGGGTGAACGACGCCAGCAGCTCAGTCAGCGGCGCGACAGCGCGGGGCTTTGGGGCGCGTCGCCCCGGTGAGGGATTAGAATGCAGCACTACTGGAGCCGCTCCAAGTGGACAGTTATATCGAGACGTACGCGCGCGAGCGCGTGACATTAGTATGCTAAACATTTGTATGCGGACGCCGAGCGGGCGCCGAGCGGACGCCCGGCCCTTGCTAGTGGTGTAGTAATATAGCGATAATAATAATATTAATCGCAAATGACATGCAGCCGAACTGGTTCGCCAACAAGACGGTCATGGTGCGCCACAGCAAAGCGTATTGTACGACCGCCGGGTCGCCGAGTGAATCCACCGCGTTTATCATCATAAGGCGATAACATGCAGAGAGATCGTCAAAGTTGCGTTTTGTTGCGTAGTGCCTTTTTTAAAAAAATCGTTAAAAGTCTCGAGTGATTACCACTGGCCTGGTACGCTCCCCCTGCAGGTGACGGACTGATCCAGCCCAGCGAGCTTCAGCACGTGATGCGGGCCTGCATGGAGGAGAACGGGATGCAGTTCTCCGAGGAGCAGGTGGCCGACCTCACCATGGCGCTGTTCGAGGACGCGGACCCCGGCGGCCGGGGCGCCATCACCTACGAGGCCCTCAAGAACCAGCTGGAGAAGCACGGCGGGCTTCTGGAGAACCTGTCCATCAGGTAGAGAGCCCTGTCCCTAGTCTACAGATTTTTCTAGTCCGAAAATGTTTCTGAAAAAATTTAATAATTTTCCAAAACAATCAGAAATTTTTTGAAATATAA